CGGCCGCCGCCATCCGCCACGCCACGCCCCGCTGCCAAGAGCTGGCCTGGGCCGGGAGGGAGGGCCCTGGTCTGTGAAAGGAGCCCCCAGCTTGGGACGAAAGGCCCCGGTGTATCATGGGGAGCCCCGCCAGCCTGTCAAGGGACCCTCCACCCCCCCCCCCCCAGCCAGGGCCGGATTCATGCATAGGCAAATGCCTAAGGCCCTAAGTGATGAAGAGGCCCAGTTGTACTTATTTTGCATATTATAGCGAGTGAAAAAAGTAATATAACTATACAGGTTTCCCTTGCCAACTGCTGGGGTTAGGTTCCTGAAAGTTCCCGTGGTTGGCAAAACAAAAGGCTTATGGGAAAAATGGCAGGTGACAGGCTGATGTGCGGCCATGGAAAACTGGGTTACTCAAAACTGTATACCGTGGTAGCCAAAAAGGGTATATAGTAGGGGTTGTCAACTGGGGGTACATGCACACCTTGGGATACTTGGGAAGGCCCCAGGAGATACCCAGAGGCAGCGTAGATTAGTGGGGGGCCATGTGCTGCCACCACTGTTGTGCCGCTGCCGCTTTGCATTTGGCTGCTGCCCACCCCCCCTGCTTGGCAACTGGCTGCCAGGGATCCCCCCCAGCTCCACATCCAGAAGTGGGTACTCACCAGGAGTAAAAGGTTGAAACCCCCTGGATAGAAAATTAAGCCATAGATACTCGGCTGTGGTTGGCAAGGGATACCTGTACAGTATTAAGTAGGGGCCCACAAGTTTGTTTGCCTAGGGCCCACTAAAGAGTTAATCTAGCCCTGCCCCCAGCCTGTGATGGGGGCCCCAGTATGTGAAGGGGGGCCCCAGTGTATAATGGGAACCCCCCCAGCCTGTGAAGAGAAGCCCCCGGTCTAAAAAAGCTGAGAACTGTGGCTTCAGAGACTAGCTGGTTCCGAGCAGCCCGAGCTTTGTCATCAGTTGCTACGACCAGCAGCACAGAGGGAAGGGGCGCTAAATAGAAAGGAATCAAGTCATTTAGAGTCCAAAGCTGGGGAAAGGGGGAGGTGCTTCCCTGCCCCGCCTTCTGCCTGATTTCTGATGATTACCACAGCTAACTGCTTTCCCCTTTGCAGAGGGCGTTGGACTCCTTCTTTGAGCCACCAGTGCATGAGCGGGACGTGAGCAGGACACCTGGCAACGGCGCCTGGTGAGGGACCATGTCCTATGTGAGAATGGAGCACAAGGGGGAAGGACTCTGAAGAGAGTAAACCTAAGCTGGGGCCAGGAGTCCTTATTCCCAAAGAGATGGTGCTAGCACATGAGCATTTATCTTGGGTCTGTACCTGAAAGCCTTGAGACTGTCTGGATATTTCTTAGGCTGAATAGGCATAAAAGCCTATGTCTTACAGCAGCTTGAGGGAGGGTGACTGGGAGGTCAGCCTGGGCTGTAACACACTTTCCCTGCATTTAACTTATATGCTATACCCGGCTTGTCTTCAAGGTGGGTACAGTACTTGTGTATCTCAGTAGTGAGGCAAACAACCGTGGTTCACGGCCATACTTCTGTAGTGTCATGCTCAGCTTGCCTGTAGTAGTTTGGCTTTCTGATGTGGATGGGCTGGCTTAACACTCTACACTCCCTTTGCTTTTGGGATAACATCTTTAAATTATGTACAGTGTTCCCGTGGGCATGAGGCCTGAGAAACTTAAGCAGATTTCCCGCCACCATCATGTTAGTTCTGCTGACAGTAAGTAGTGCCAGTGTAGACAGCACACTCATGGCTAAAGGGGACCCAGCCCATGCTTGTGCTTCCAGTCGTAGTACTATAGGAAAATTTTAGGACAAAAAACTCCAGTAAAGAATTGCCTCTGTCCTCTGATCTACTAAGCTTCCCTCCCAGTCATGGCTGTCTTTCTGTTGTTAAGCATACAGTCATGTTCTCACATTATAATCCGTTTAGCTTGTGTTGTATATTATAGCATCTAAAAATTAATTGTAGTAGGGAAATCGTGGAGATGCGTTTTCCTCTAATATTCCTCTCTTACCTTCTCATTTGACTGTGTCTTGTTCAGGTTAGATCGTAAGCATGGTAGGGTAGGAATCTGATCTTGTTTCTTAGGCACAAAGTACAGCAGTTGTGCCATGTAATTTATCACTGTGTGAGTTGTAGAGAAGAAAATATTTTGGTCAAAGGTCAAAAGTTTCTCTGTGTATGCAATCTACTGCGCTTTATCTATACAATTAAACACACAGGTGCTATCATAGAATTTGTTCTAATCTAGGGGTGCTGTACTGCCAGAGCCATGTCATCTAGCTCATGGATCTCTTCCCAGGTCTGGAAATTTGGCAGTGGGGCAGCGGTAGCATTTAACAGTGCTACTGCTCCCTCACGGCCAAATTTCTAAACCCCGCATGGCCGAGTTGGGGCCATTCACCAGATCTGGCCTGTGGGGTGAAAAGGTTGGGCGCCTCTGGTCTAATTGTACCCATTTCACTTGGGATCTAGTTTGGCTGCAGCCTTTTTTGTCTTCAAAGGAACTGTAGTGCACACTTAAGTTCTAACCATTGTTTAGTTCTACCTACACAAGCAAATTTAAGTCCTGCCAATACATTCTGATCTTTGCCATGTTGAAGTATACTGGGTACAATGGGTGTTTTAGACCAGGTGCATGCATACATGTGTGAAACATGCTCAAGCACTGTCAAACCAGTTTGGGTACTATGGTACCTCATGGCACTTATACCTATGTACTGGTTACAGCTCTTTTTCTTTTGAATATTAAGTCTCCTCAGTAAGCTTCTTGAGTATTAAACAGTGCCAAAAACTGAAGAGAAGTAAGACTTGTGAGATAAGACTGTCTGTTGTTGGGCTGGCTTGGATAGTTGGGAGCGAGAGGAGACAATCTTTCAGGTTTCAAGGACCCTTTCGGGTCTTGAAAAGAAGCAGTCACATTACAAGCTAAGTGTAAGTTAGAAGCACTGGTTTGTTGGCTCTGTTAAGAAATTTAAGGAAGTTAGCAAAGGTAAGCTGGTAGAAACCAACCTAACTTTAAAATCAGATTGCGGTCCTTTCTCTTGTGTCAGTGAGAAAAAGAAAAACATTAATTATAGCCATGTTTTAAGACTATATATATGATAGAGGCCTGTGCATTTCAGTTACTGGATTAATTGCAGCTGTTTTTAGATGAAAGATAAATTCAAGTTCTCTTCAATTTTGAAAATGTTTATAGTTAGACATATATCTAAAATTATTTTGTGGTAAAAAGTGAGGCAGCAACTGTGGCAAAAATACTCTGTGTGATATGTGCTATGTTAAACATTTTTTCTAGCATTGACCTGACAGCAGTTGTGACTACTGACAGTGCTGGAGTCAGCACAGCAGACTGCCTACAACAAGAAGATGACAGCAGCTTCTCTTTAATTACATGGAACATTGATGGTCTACATCTAGAAAATCTCCAAGACAGAGCGAGAGGAGTCTGTTCTTATTTAGCATTGTAAGTGCTGTCATCTTAAAATTGGCTTAAGTGTTGGTAAGATATGAATCCTCAAAGTACCTTCGCAGAAATACAGGATTACAGTATTTTTGAATGCATAATACTAAAGCGATCTGGATAAATGAAAATATGTGACTGGCTAGAAGTGGCTGTGAACCTATATAGTGTTGAAGCAAATAGAGAGTTGGGTGCTATCAGCCTCTCTTGCCAGCTAGTTGCTGCAGCATATAAACTTTTTTTTTTTTTAAATAAGCCACTTTGATATTTAATATCAGACTACAGTAATGCTTCACTTTGATTGTGGAATTGGAATAGGTCATACTGGAAGGAAATGCAAAGATCATGATCATAATAGCAAGTGATTTGACCATGTTACATGCCTTGGTTTTTCTGGTTTATGGCTTTTTTATGGTTTAGATTCCAAGACAAACCATAAAACAGGTCACTCAAACAAGTAAAAAAACAACAGAATCTGCAGTGTGCGCGCCAAGTGGTGACTTGACTTGCATCTTGAAAATCTAAAACTTGAGAAGAAAGTAGAATGCAGGAGAAATTGAGAAAGTCAATTACTTTTTTAAATTAAGGCGGCAGCAGCAGCTTCCTACACAAATGTGTGATTGAGTGATCTTGGTTGGAAGTGTTTAGATGGAGCAGAACATGTGCTGAAGCCTGGTTTCCAGTCACTTTGCTTCTATTCTCCACATGCATAAAATTTGAATGGGACAGTGGTGTTTGTAAGGTCCAGATGTGAAGGCAAAAGGCAGATCCTGGACAGGCAATTTATTATTATAATCCTATTTTTTTGCAGCTCCTTGTTTTCCTCTAACTGTGGTGGTATGTTTACATGGCAGGAAACATTGTAAAGCACACTTGGCCATGGATGCTCTTCTTGTTTCAGGAAAGATAAATAGTCTCATTCCAGTTTTACTTGCCCTAATGATGTGAAACACTGTGCTTGCCTTCATTGTTAGACTGTCAACATGTCTTGCTTTTACAGGTACAGTCCAGATGTGGTGTTTCTACAAGAGGTTATTCCACCATACCTCTCCTATCTACAGAAGAGAGCTGCTTCTTACACAGTTATTCCAGGTAAACATGAAAGGCTAATCATGGGGAGGGAAGGGAAGTGGATATCTTATTTTCTGTGGTTTCTAGATTCCAGATTTACTAGAA